TGCCTATAATCTCAGTATTATGACATTTTAATTTATTGTTTCCACTTTAGAGGGATATTTAAGGTACTAATATGTTTTTTAAAAGAAATATTTATCTGAAATTGTGAAATCTTACACATCATAAACTTTGGATTTTGTTTCTCCTACTGAATTTAAATCAAATTAAATGTAATATTCATTGGTGAAAATGTATTTTGTGATAGACTAGGTCAGAAACAGACAGCCTTTACACAAAAGGAACAGCGTCAATTTGGCAACTCATTGTTGATTCAAATCAGAAATGGACTGACGAGACTTTCAAGGCATCAAGAATAAACAGGGAAACTTCTTGCATGGGTTGCTACTACCAAAAAAATAAGTACAGCACTCGGGAAGCCTTGGCTCTGTAGCATGGAGTTAACAGGAACAGAGCATAAAGCAGGGCTTGAACAAGTGAGTGTTCAAGGGAAGGAAGCTGCCCGATGAAAAGCGCCCTCTGTAAACATCCTAGGAGAGGTCCGATTTAATTTTGTCCACTTATTTATTTAGCTAGGCCCTTGGGTGGAACTTTCCTCCCACAGTGCCTATTGGCTTGATTCTAAGTGCTGAGAATAAAAGGTACCAGCCCACTGACAAGGGTTATGAGCCCCGGTTGGAAACTCAACAGGAAAGCTGTGTTAATATCACAGAGCTAGGCTAAACAATAGTCCAAAGAATGGTGTGATCTTTTGGAGGTAACAAGGATAATCAATAAAAAGAGACTTAAACCAGAGACCTTTACATTTCTTACTAATCAATTAGCACACTTTCCTTTCTGGAGATCAATTTTCACAGACATCTTATTTCTCTAAAAGCCCATTTTCTATTTTCTCCCTATTAAAGAGAATTATATAAAATATTACAAATATTTTTCTAGAACCTGTGAAGTTTCAGGTACAATGGGGAAAGGTTCAGATAAAGTCACCGTGTTCCTTGCCATGGAGAGTGCCACCTTGTTTTAACTCATCACCACAGAGGACAGTCACGTCTGCTCAGGACAGCAAGAACATTTGCCTTTGTCCCTTTTTCCATATTAGGATGGTCTAAGGCACCTTAGGGAAATGGGCTGGTCCACAGTGGTGATGGCTGGTTTGGGAGAAAGGACTCATTGTCTTCCAAGGTTTCCCTGAGAGAGCTGAGTGTCAAAGTCCACAGCAGGCTCTCTAAAGCCAAGGGCAACTTCACACAGGAGGTCGGCATGCCAACAGCCCGAGAGAGGAAGCCATGCAAACTAACCTCAGTAGACAAGCTTCTCCTGATGCCAGTGTGGCCTTAGAAAGAGAACATTCTCCCATCTGAGCGTGATCATCTGTTCTTTGCGACAAGACAACACTCATGAAGATCTGTGTGCCTCAACTGTCAGGTTGAGATCTTCACTGAAGCTAGGTCACAAGAGTGGAATGAAGTCCCATTTATATCCTTTAAGCTGAGAAGAGACAGACACTCAGAGAAAGTCTACAAGGAGAAGACCCAACTCTGAAAAGGATGCTGCGTTGCCTACTCAGCTTCCTGCTACTGCCCTGCTTGCTGGGTGTGGTGGTGCACACCTGTACACACAGAGTGCACACCTGTAAACACACCTGTAAGAGCAGGAAGCTGAGACAGTGGGTTTCCATCCGTGAATGATTAGTTCTGTTGATTTGGGCCTTTGATGATGCAGTACATGTGGCAATGTCATTTAGAGGAACGCACCTGTTCATCTCAAGTCTGGGTGCAGAAGAGAGGGAGAAGAGAGACCAGGATTCCAGGAACCTGCTTCAAATGCACGTTAATATGTATTCAATTTTGGTATTTATTTCATTTCATTTACTAACTCACTAACTGACAAATAGTCGTGGCAGGGAGATGCTGTATGAGAATAGTGTATACTGTTCCCCAGTTGAGGTGTACTACTTGCAAATCACTCTTGTAAAGCTTTTGGGGATGATCTAAAGCTAGGTACTTTAAAAGATGAAAAACAGGTTTGTGCTTCTCCACCGAAAGATTTAAAAACACATCAGTGGTCCCTCCTTTTTCAATGCAGATAATCATCCAATTAACACCGGCTGACATTTATTGTCTACCTTAAATCCAGATACTACAGTGAGTTCTATTCAAACAAGATAGGAAGACAAATGTTTACGGGCAATGAAATCCACTTAATATGCAATACAATGTCTCCCATCACCTCCTAGACAGAATCCTGTTGCTATTCTGGCCTCTCTAAGGAAATTTTATCAGTGCGTCCCTGGCTCCAGGGATCCTCTTCCCATTGTCTAGCTGACTCTGACAATCACACACTAGAACAATGAAACCTGGCATAATGGCTGCCTGGGATGCCAGGACTCGGGAAGGTAAGGCAGGAGGATCACACATTTAAATCTAGCTTAAGCTGCTGCGTAGCAAAACCCTGCAGCTAAGAAAGGAAGAGGAAGTGGGGAAGAAGAAAGAGAACCAAGTGGGGAGGAGGGAGGAGAGAAAAAGGGGGAGCAGGAATTAGAGCCAGTTTCTCATATACCCAAGACTGTGCAGCCTAATGGTCAAAGCTTGCGGGTTTTGTGTTAGGCTGGGTCTATGTCTGCTGGTTGTTCACCATGGATTGTGGGCAAGTATTTTAATCCATCTATGCCTCTGTGGGGTAGCAACCCTCATAAGGTTTCTGTGAAGACGCCATGAGCTGAACACCGGAGCACTTGACAAATGTTAAGTCAACAAAAATAATAGCTGGGTGTATCAAGTAGGCACCTTCGGACAACAGACTGTTCCAAAGTTGGTGGGAGATGAATATATGACCACCTATGGGAAAAGGACCAGGAAGATCATTTCATAGATGATATCACAGAGTCACAATGGCTCAGTGTCTTGCCTGAGGTCAGGCAGGTGGCCAGCAGCCACACCAGAACCCAGCTCTCTGCCACAGTGTCATTGGGACAAGACACAAGACCTCAAACTTCATTCACCCTTCACTCAAATGCATATGATAGGTAATATCTACCTCAGTAATTGCAATTTTAAATTTCTAAATATTAACACAGGAATAGACGACTTCATTAGCAGGACATTAAAGATCTATTTTGCACACACTGGGTTAATATGAGAACAGGGCAGGGGTCTAGCAATCACATTCCTGCCAAAGACTTCCAAGTGGCCCTTGTTAATGAAAAGTAGCCTAGGTAGTGCCCCAGGGTACCAGACCACTAGCACAGAGCTGGAAGATATCACTGCCAATGTTCAGACTGCCAGGTCCTGGTGAGCCATCCAGTCCCGCCCACCCCAGCTGCAGGAGGAGAGCCTGTTGGACAAGCGGTGGGGACCCCAGAAACGAACCCTGTCACAAAGCCTCCACTTGGCCACTGGTGTCAGTTCAGCTTACCACGCCCATGCCAATACACTTCACAAACCCTCTTTCACCACCTCGCAATCCGACCCCTCTCATGGCGCTTGCCCTGTCAGCAGAAAGCTTACAGCCAGCACCACCCGACACCCGCCCACACTAATTTCTTGTAGCTCTTTCTCAATGCTCAAAGCGCTCATGCTTCTGCCATACTCCCCCTTGCTCCTAGATTCTGTCTTAGCTCTGACTCTGACCACCATCACTCCTAAAAGCTAACTGTCAAAACCACTTCCGGGTAATGGCGGCCTTTCCGTGAAACCAACCTACATTCAGATGTAGATCTCTACATTCTGCGCTCCAGAACCTTCTGCATCTAAGGCCTCAATCAATTCTTCTTTGCCGTCCATTCACGATGCTTACTCTTTTACAACCTCATATTGTGCCTGGCTAGCAAGTGTTCAGAGCTGGATAAACTCTAGTTTCTCAAGAAGTCAGAACGCCACAGAAGAAATCCGTGTACAGAGAAGCTGGGAAGGAAGGCGATAAAGAATGAAAACACAGCAAAGACATGTTTTAGGCCAGGCTGGCCTAACAATTAACATATTTTAACTCGATACTCTAGACACCATCAGTATGCACAATTATTTATTATTAATACATTACAAAGGAGAAAACGGGGGAACAGGTGAGTGGTTTATCCAAGACTGTACTGTGAAGCTGTGCACTGATCTTGATTCGCCAACTCTTATTACCCCTTTATAATAATGTCCCTCTAACCCTGCATCCCTATATCCACTTTAATTCGTCTACCTCTGTGGACCAAAACATACTCCACAAGCAACAACTTTTGCCCCAAATCCTCACCCACTGCTTTAAGAGCCTGAAATTAAAGATTGATTTGAGTCAGATCTCCCTCCAAGAGTGAACAGCATGCAACATAACTTTGAACTTCAAAACATTCCTCGGATGGAGGAAATCATAGATGTTTCAGAGGAAAGGTCCTGGGGTCACTCTTAGCTCAGCATTTTCCACCCCATCATTCCTAAATCCTGACTCATAAACTAGAGCGACGTGTAAGCACACACATATAACAATCACTGTGGGTATTGTTTTGATAGAATTAGAGGTTAAATATGTAATTATAGGATCACAGGCACACAAAGTGGTCTATCACATGTTTAATTATTTTGTTAATAACCATCTAGGAATTTAGGTCTCCCTCTTTGAAAAGGGATATTCACAATTTCAACTACATTCAAACTTAAATGAAAGATCCAGTAAGTCCTTCACATGATTCAAGTTTTAAGTAATTTGTCAAAAGTTGTGTTAATTCTGAATACATCAGAGTTTTCTCAGTCTTCCATCAAGGGCGTGAAGGATAGTTATAGTTTGAAAATGTACACATTGTTGTACAAGAAGAGGAGGAAGAGGAGGAGGAGGAGGAGGAGGAGGAGGAGGAGGAGGAGGAGGAGGAGGAGGAGGAGGAGAATTTGCCTTTGGGATGAAGAAAGGTTTACCATAAAACACCAGCCAAAATTTCGTCCCCAAGAAACCTTATACTAGCACCACCCCTCATAAATTTTAAATAGCAAACGATGTCCACAAAACAGAGAAAGGAGCCCAATGCTCCTGCAGTCTTTCCCAGCATGAGATCTTTTTCTCCCCTTACCAAAAGAAGTCTGGCAAGAAAGGCAAAGGCACAGGCAGGCGAGAGATCTCAGCACGACCAAGGTGATGTCCCGCGTCTTCAGAACTTACCCAGCTTGGTTTGTACACTCAGCACCCCACTTCTCCCACTTTGCCAGTTCGGATCAGACGGCGGTTGGGTTTTTGTTGCTGTTTCTGCTCTTTTTGATCTCAGAGCCTCATGAAAATTAAACTGTGTTGAATGTGATGTGGCCTCGCCTCGCATGGGGGGGTGGGCTGGGTAGCGGGAAGAAAAAGGTTCGAGTTTGGATTGCTGATTGCTTCTTGGGGAAAAATAAATAAGTAGTAAGTGGCTAGCAGGAGGCGACGTGGGAGACGTGCCTTGCGGATGGCAGGCCGGGAAGGGGCCCACAAACTTTCTCAGCACAGCTGTCCAGATGCGCTTCATCTGTTTTCCTGGCGGGTCACTGGCTTGGGCTGCGGTTGGCTGCCAAGCCTCCTCCCTGGTTGCCGATTGGTGGAGCCGCCCGCCACTCCTGCGGGCTCTGTCAGCCTCCGCCCACTGGGCCACCGGCATCCTAGCAAGGAACCTAGCTGGGGCGCGCAGTGCAGTCGCTGATGTGGCATTGCGTGGCGGCGGGGTCTGAGGAGGAGCAGAGGAGAGGTCGCTAGAACTCGGAACTTGCCCCTGCCCTCACCCCTTTGACAGCAGGCCTTGTAAGTAGCTACGTTTAAACTGGGCGATCGCTGTCGTTTTGGGCAGCGAAGAAGGACAACCTTCAGTAGCTCAAGCCACAGGCGTTTCCAAATAGAAGGGTTGGAGATGCGCGCTGCCCACGCCTCCAATAGGGCGGTCCAGGCCCGCCTCAAGGGTTTCCTATCCACGCTTTTTCAGGGGAGAGAAAAGTAGATGCCAAGAGTACAGGATTTGCGGACAGGATTCTAGTGGAGGAATACTGCACCTTTTAATGACATCCGAATTCTTTGGAAATGTGGTCGTTTCTGTGGAGAAGTTCTGGGTGGGTGCTTGAAGGAATGCTTAGGTTCATTTACTGTTGAGGTGGGTGGTACTTGTGAATAAAGCAAGAACTCTTGTTTAGGCCTGGTGAGACCTGCAGACTTGCATCAAGTACGTTTTGATTCTGTGGAAGTGGTTGAAGGATCACCGGAAATGCGGTGGGGAACAGAGGAGATCTGCAATCAGTAGCCACTGGAATGCGGATTTTGACAGAAACTTGATCTCTTTGGAATAAGAAGTCGAGAGCTGCACTCAATGGGCTGAACACCAGGCTTTGTGGCAGGCCTCTTTTACCTGCATTACGTGGAATTCCTGCACCCAAATTATGACATAGATATCATCTCCATTGTCAGATAAGACCAAGACCCACACCCTATCCCAGCATGCCACAGATGCCTCCAGACAGTGTATGTTGTATTACTTCACTAAGAGTCCATAAACTGGTGTGTCACTTGTCATCAATGTGCGGGTGAGAATTTCTGGTGAATGCCTCTTTCTTCTAATGTCTATAAAGTTTTTACGACAAAGATTCTATTCTGTGGGCTCCTGTAGTCACTATCTGCTATTATGTAACAGATCACCATAAAGTTGATACCCGAAGCAGCACACACATATTATTGCACAGTTCTGGAAGGCACAAGTCCAGGCCTGGCTTGACTGGGTCATCTGCTCTGGGTCTCACAAGACTGCATTCAGGCGGCTGCTGGCTTCATTCTCATCTGCAGGTTCTGGGTGGTGGTGGGGGACCAAATCTGTTTTCAGGCTGCAGCAGGTTCTTAAGCACAACTCATTTCTTTGCAGGAATGGGGCTGAGTCTCCAGTTTCTTTCAGGAGATTAGCAAGAAGGTGCCTTTCATTTCCAGGATCTTACCTTAGGCAATCCTTAAAAGCTAGGCAGTGGCGTCCAAAGGAAGCTCCCAAGAGTTTGGATTAAATATTCAACACTTGCATTACCATAGACCTACTGCAATGTTACCATAAATCCACAAGCTGCCCTGCCTTCTTACCAAGGGGGACTGTCTAGAGGATTCCCAACACTTCACCCCTGTGGCAGCAAAGGAAACCCGCAAAGGAACAGCCCTTAAATGTGGCTGTACGAAGTCATTTGTGTCTTATGCTCAGCTTTCTGAATCATTTGGAAGCAGTCAATAGTGCTCCTTCTATCATGGAACGCTGCTTCACAATGGTTGATGGTCAAGGATTAATTAGATTTTCATAAGCTGCCATCTCCAGGCGTCAGATTTGTTGACAGGGTTCTCAAGATGATAAAAAGATCCCTTCTGCTTGCAGGAATGTACATTTGTTTCCCCACAGCTAAGCATAATCAACACTCTTGGACTTCTCCATGAGCCAGCACGGAGATTCTGAAGGGCTGACAGAAGAGGGTAGACTCACTAGAAATCTCAGCATCCCAGAGACCACATCATAGCGAGGCTGTAAGTTTTACTATTGATCCATTATCTCAGACTTGAAGCTGCGGATGCCCTTGCTTTAGTCTGAATCTAGAATTTCCCCCACAGGACATGTATTAAAGCCTGAGAAAGTGGGCTCGTTAAAGGAAAGGCCTGATAGAAAGAAGGTAGGCCACCGTGGAGCATGATCATGAAGGATATATTGGGCCCCAGACCTTTCTCTCTCTCTCTCTCTCTCTCTCTCTCTCTCTCTCTCTCTCTCTCTCTCTCTCTCTCTCTCCTCACTAGGCACGAATAGACTTCCTCTACCATGTGTTTCAGTCGTGATATTCTGTCTCATCACAGGCCCGAAAGTGACTGAGTCAAGCCATGATGGGCTGAAATCTCTGAACTGTGAGCCAAATAAACTTCCTATTTTAAGTCGTATATTTTGTCATGGTGGGGGAAGCTGACAGAGTAAGTCACTAAACAGGTATAGACATATATGAGGGGAGTCATAGTAACTTGCTGTTTGCTCCTTCCATAGCCAAAGATGAGGGAAGGGGGAGTCCAAAAAAAAACTCCTTTCATACTTCATTTAATAACCACATCATTCCAGCCAAACACCAGTAAAAACTGTGGCCCACTGACATTCCCATTCATATCACACTCACAAAGGCCAGAGGGCATCCGGATGCTTGCTCTTACCAGTCTATGACAAGGTAAAGATGTCAAACTCCTTAACAAAACAATAGCAAATATAATGCAGCAGTAGGTAAAGAGAATTACCCAGAAGAACCAAGTAGGGTTTTCCCAGTGATGCAAGTCCTGTTCAGTACTCAGAAGCCAATCAGCATAATCCTGTTATAACTCATAAAACATCCATGTGTGCAGACAAGCACTTAGGAAAACTGAGCATCATAAAAATGCCAGAGAAATGGGAACAAAGAGGGACTTTTAAACTTTGATAAGAGGCAGGTACCAAAAAGCTTTTCATGTTTAATGTGAAAGACAAGATAGTTTTGATACATGCTTTATGATTACATTGAAGTAACATTTTGTTTCAGTGACAGAACTGTGACACAGAGCAGGTAAGTGGTTGTTCAGGTTTAAGGAAAGTGTGGGGTGGGAAGGAAGTGGGTGTGGCTATAACAGGGCATCATATGGAATGGTTGTGGTAATGGAAACATTGTCACTTGGCTGTGCTACAATGTTGCTAGGAAACAGCATGGTAAGGCATAGTATAGCTGAGGGAAAGTGGTGAACGGACCCATGAATCAAATTGGTTTGTTCCTACTGACTACCTGTGCACCTACAACTACCTCAAAAACAAAAGGCTTAATTTTAAGAAAGTTTCCAAATCTCTCCCTCACTTCCTCCTAGGCCACATTTCTCTGTGCAGAAGTTTGTTCCCTTAATGAAGCCCTTTCCAGAACAAAATCATCTTTCCATTGCTCCTGGATGATGTCCTGGATGGAAGAGGTTGGGGATTATTATTTTTTTAATTGGAAGTTTGGGGTTCTTACCTGACCATCATGGAGAATGATGTCCATTATTCCTTTAATGACATCACCAGGCCAATTGTGTATAAAATATATCATTGTTAATTGGTCTAGATATTTATGGCTTGATATACGTTTAAGAAAGCTGTCATAATTTTTTTCAATAAGCAATGTAGCACAAAATACAGTAGGCACTTTGTGTGAAATTTCAAAGATATGTGCACATATATGCATTTATATATATATATTTGTATATATTTAAAATCTATTTCAATCCAACATTAAAGGGTATTTTCAGCATCTTTTCACACATATACACACATATACACATGCAAACTGCCCACTTTTCGTATATGTAACTCTTAGTGAGAAAACTGGCTCAAACTAATTTTGTTATTTATGTAAATACATAATTAATCCTCTTGAATTTAATAAATCTTCTAACTGTCCCAGCTGAATCCTCAGTTTTGAGATATGCAGACTAGCATGTAAACAACTCACACACACACACACACACACACACACACACACACACACACACACTTACTTCTCTATACATATACCTGCTCTCATGGGCACAGATCAAATATAATTACTCTAACTCTTAGCCTTTAAGAAGAAAAAAAAGATGTGAGAGAATGAAGAGAAAAGAGGAAAGAGGAGGGGAAAGGGGTTACTAATGATTTTTGGACCATTCAGCATTAGAAGAGGAAGGTAAAAATGAAGGAAGGAACTGAAAGAAAAGGAGGAAAAGAGAAGGAAAGGGGAAGGATGAAGAGAGAGGAGAGAGAGGACTAGGTATGGAGGGATAGACAGACAGAAATGTCACAGCTTACTACTATATCATTTCTTAAGGAATTCAAAACTGCTTCCCAAAACAACTACAAAAAAAAAGGACCTAGACCTTTGGCAAAAATCTAATATCACTTGATGATCAAACTCATAAAGAGGCTAGGGATGAAGGGAGCATGTCTCAACATAATAAAGGCTATGTAAGACAAGCCTACAGTCAACGTCATGTTTATTGGAGAAAAACCTGGAGCATCCCTATTATGGTTAGGAATATGACAAGGGTGTTCATTCTCTCTACTCCTATTCAATATAGTACTTGAAGCCTTACCGAGAACAATGAGACAAGAGAATGGAGTAAAAGATACAAATAGGAAGAGAAGAAAAGAAAGTATCCCTACTTGAAGGTGATAGATTCTGTGTATGAGACCTTACAGATTCCATCAAAAAAATAAAATAAAGAACTTAGAGCTGAAATACATTCAACAAAGTATCAGGATGCAAAATTAACACTCTTAAATTAGTAGCCTTAGAAAGAAATCAGAGAAGTAATCTTTTTACAACACACACACACACACACACACACACACACACACACACACACACACACACAAAACCTGCCAAAAAATCTCTCCATCTTGGGTTGGTAATTGGTTAGATTTGTTGTTATTGTTTTTTTTAATTCATGTTGCTTCTCTTCTTTCAGTAGACTTGTTTACAGTGTTCAGAAGACACTAGCTTGTAAAACAGTTGTGGTGATATTTTTCTCTGCTAAACTAGTGTTCTAGTTAACTTTCTGTTACAGTGATAAACACTATGATCAAAAGTTAACTTGCCAGGCGGTGGTGGCGCTTGCCTTTAATCCCAGCACTCGGGAGGCAGAGGCAGGCGGATCTCTGTGAGTTCCAGGCCAGCCTGGGCAACCAAGTGAGTTCCAGGAAAGGCGCAAAGCTACACAGAGAAACCCTGTCTCGAAAAACAAAAAATAAAAACAAAAACAAAACAAAACAAAAAAAGGGTGACTTGGAGAGGAAAGGGTTTCTGTCAGCTTACAGGTTATAGTAGAAGTCAGGGCAGAAGTTCAAGGGTGAAACCTCAAACAGAAGGAGGACACGGGGAAGTGCTGCTTACTGGTTTACTCCCTCGCTTCTGTTTAGGTAGCCTTTTTGTACAATGTAGGACCCCTGCTTAACAATCAAGAAAATTCCATGTCCGGGAAGCCGGTTTGGAGCTGTCCTGGCACCCGGGGCGGAGCAGAAGCACTCAGCCCCTCTTGATGCAGCTCTGGACTGTCAGGGGATCACATTGCTCCCCAAGTGCAAATTCAAGTGCTAAACCAAGCTTTGTATGTTCTGTGAGGCAGAGAAGTGTGAGGCGGGGGTGGGGGGTGGGGGAGGGGATGGGGTGGGGGGTGGGGATCCCGTCAAACCCAGAGCTGGGCTGCCTTTGGAAGCAGCCTTTACCTCAGTCCACAACCCTCGTGCAAATTCGCCCTTGGCCCAGGCTTGAGCTCCAGGGAGTTTGTTTTCCCCTAAGGGAAGAGACTGAAGTGTCTGAGCCCCACTAATCTTAGGGAAATCTGAAACACAAGACCCAGTGTGTTCACAGGCCGGTACTGAAAAAGAAAAAGAAAATTCCACAAACAAACCCATAAGCCAATCTGATCTAGGCAATCTCCCAATTGAGACTTCCTCAGATAACTCTGGGTTGTGTCACGTTGGCTGCTGCTGAAGCAAACTAGGAGAACCAGTGTTCCAAACCCCAAAGTGTATCTCTAGTTTGCCCCTGTGTGACGAGTACTGTCTGCAGCAATAATCACTACCCAGTCGTTACTTCAGCCTCATAATA